GCGTCTTTGACTACATCCATCCCGGGGACCACTCGGAGGTATTGGAGCAACTGGGACTGCGGGCTGCGACCCCCGGGCCCCCAACGCCGCCTTCCGTGTCATCCTCTTCATCTTCATCTTCCTCCTCGCTGGTGGACACCCCCGAAATGGGTAATTTCCAGAACCCCCTCCTTGCCAATGAATGAAGTCTGAATGATCCTGGTGTTTGTGCTTAACATACTACAAAGAAAGATTCTGTAAAAACGGATTAAGCCCATTTGAGGCAGTGACACTAGGCAGTCCCCAAAATGGCCAAGATACACAAAGATTTGAGCTTGCTGGATGGAGGTGGGAATAAGGGTGAGAGATTTTGTTTTATTTTTAAAGATTTTACTTATTTATTTATTTATTTACTATGTATACGCATTCTGCTTCCATGTACATCTGCACACCAGAAGAGGGCATTACTGATGGTTGTGAGCCACATGTGGTTGCTAGGAATTGAACTCAGGACCTCTGGAAGAACAGTTGGTGCTCTTAACCTCTGAGCCATCTCTCCAGCCCGAGAGATTTTATTTATTTATTTTTGTTTTTTGTTTGTTTGTTTGTTTTGTTTTGTTTTTCGAGACAGGGTTTCTCTGTGCAGCTTTGGAGCCTATCTTGGCACTCGCTCTGTAGACAAGGATGACCTCGAACTCACGGAGAGCCGCCTGCCTCTGCCTCTGCCTCCCAAGTGCTGGGATTAAAAGCATGAGCCACCAACCCGCAGCTATTTTTGGTTTTTGAGACAGGATTTCTCTGTATTGTTTTGGAGCGTGTCCTGGAACTCACTCTGTAGACCAGGATGGACTTGAATTCACTGAGATCCTCTTGCCTCTGCCTCCCAAGTCCTGGGATTAAAGGCGTGCACCACCACCACACGGCGAGAGATTTTTTTTTTTTTTAACCATAAAAATTGCATTGAGCCTAACTCCATCTCCACAAGCCAGGAGGGATGGCCTTTAAAACTCAGGCACATCACAGAGAGGTCAAATTAATTGCCCCAAGTGACACAGCTATTCCAGCCCAGGATCTATGTTCCTGAAACCCCTGCTTCTCTTTTTAGTTGTTTGTGTGTGTGTGTGTGTGTGTGTGTTAGGAGCTGGTTCTCTCCCTCCACTATGTGGGCCCCAGATATGACACTCAAGTCAACAAGCACATTTACCCACTGAGCCATCTTGCCAGCAAACTGCCTACTTTCTTTCTAAATTTTCACTTTCACGACAGGTTGAGTGGGCACCACCCACAAGCTTTCCCTTTGGAAATGTTGGGGACCTGTGAGGATTACTGTACTGGGTTTTGTTAACAACCTAAAATGTGAGGCACTTGGGGGATGTCTATTATATGCGGGGACTAACAGAGGTTACTGACAAATGTGGGGGGGTCTGAGAGACAGGAAGATATGGTTGCTGTTTTAGGGAAAGGGTTTTCTTTTTCCTCTTTCTTTTCTTTTTTCTTTTTCTTTCTTTTCTTTTTTCTTTCTTTCTTTTTTGTTCTTGTTTTTGTTTTCTTTTTCAAGGCAGGGTTTCTCTGTGTAGCTTTGGAGCCTGTCCTGGAACTTGCTCTGTAGACCAGACTGGCCTCGAACTCACAACGAAAGGGGTTTTCTTTGCTTTTTTTTTTTTTTTTAAAGATTTTATTTATTTTTTATGCATAAAACATTTTGCATCCATGTATGTTTGC